TTCGAACCCACGACCCTTGTAGCCAAAGTTACAGCTAAGAAACGTAAACTCACCTGAGCTACGCAGGTCGGCTTCGAACTCCTATCCGCGATTCGCGTTGGTTTTATAGTAGATAATGTATTAAGGGATATAAAACAAGAGTATAATTCCCTGAGAGAACAGTAATACTCCGAGCGACGTAGTCGCGAGGTATTGCGTTCCCCGAGGGGAATTATACTCTGTTTTATCCCGTGGTACCTACATTCTACGTTTTATTTTTTATTGATAATAGTAGAATTGCTGTTGAAAAGTAAATTAATTTGCAAATAAAAATTTCACATCTGATTCTCGTTGTTGCATATGGGGTTGGCTGCGACTGCCATGGTTACCTAGTTACGTATATAAACAACAAAAAATGCTGCGTCCGTAATTTTGAAAGCAATTTTTGTGTCGTTTGGCTTTGTTCAAGAAAGGAAAATGTTGGATGGGAATGAAGATGATGATGTTCCCATGGAGGGAATAAAAGAAGCTGAAGATGCTCTTAAGGGGTTAGTGCCGGCGACCTCAAAACATTATATGAAAACGAATACTCCATGTTTTGTAAATGGCGATCGGAAAAATCCTTGAAGATTGTGAAGGAAAAAATTCTTTTGGCGTATTTTAGTGAACGATCTAAGCAGGGAAAACCGTCTTGTTTGTGGACCTACTACTCCATGCTTAGATCCATGCTACGTGTGCCGGTGTGCGAGAGAAGGTATTATTTATACACATTATTATCTATTAGAATTTGAACAATACTAAGACGTTCCTTTGAATTATAGTTATGGGCAATTGAAAGCGTTTTTAAAAAATAAGAATCAGGGTTTTAAGCCCAAGAAGTCTAAAATTCGCCATTCACTGTCTAAAGGAAATCTGAAAAGTACCTAGATGTATTTCAAAATGTTGTTTTACACACAATTGCTACGACAATGGATCTGTATCACAATCTACAAAATGAATGAAGTTAAGTATCGTGAAAGAAGACCATTTTAAGAAATATAACATGGTTACCGTCTATGAAATGTCATTCTCGTTCCTTCTGTAGGTTTTGACTGTTATATTACCCGATTGACAGCTAACCTTTGTGTTTCACTTTACCGTAATTGTCAATTAATTGTCAAAGTCCTATTGTTCTGACAGAGGAGATTAGATTTTATAACTCCCGTTGTTATGACAGCGGGGTTTATGTGGCTATAGACTAATATTTTAACCACCATGTAAATTATCAATAAAAAATAAAAGTATTAATGTGATAAAATTGTGATAAAATCCCAAAACTTTCAAGACCCTGATGCATCTCACGATGTGGTGGTCAGTGCAGGGGAGAAGTTCTTGGTTGGATTGGAGTGTACGCTGGCAGGGGCCACAGCCTCGGCTCTTGATGAGTTTACCAAACTTTTGGCAAATGCAACATTTAGCCTCTCATCCCTCCCTGTTAACTCACCAGTAGCAAGGGATCACTCCCTCCGCGCGTACCACCAGGTATGGTGTGGAAGGCAAAAACCCTCGATTGAGGTACCTACAAAACCACACGGGCTGGCATTGTCCCAATAATCACTTCAGAGGAACATTCCCCCACCGAGGTGCTTCACTCAATCTCTTGCAATTGTAGAATGCAGGGCGACTGCCACATTCCAAAACACAGTAGATACGTATGTGTTATTTTTTAACTTTGGAGTAAACTATTGAAAACTTTGGCCACATGCATATCTAATATGTGAGGACCCTTATATTCCGTGAAAATGGGAAATGTGCCTATAGTGGGTAGAATTTAGAAAAATGCTAACTTTGGGAATTTTCTCCGTAGTTGTCGAAAAGCAGGACTTAAATGTCCGACAATCTGCGGGAATTGTAAATCCCAGACGACCCCCAACGCTCCATTTGAGGAAGAAGTATTCACCAGCACCCCTCATCCATTGGAGAAAGAAGAGGAGGGACTCAGTAAGGAATTGATGGGGGGGAGATGGAAGACAATCCAGAAGATGATGAGGTTGGGCAAGATGATGTCCAACCACATCAAAGAGGCCGAGAAAGTTTTAACATTTATTAGGACATTCCAAAATGTTTTTGGAATTTATCATATAAGTATGGTTAAAATGGTCAAATTTTCAAATTTGAGCATTCTTTGAACTCGCCATTGAATTTTTTACGACTTTGACTACAAGAATCTTTTAATAGGACTGCTTAATACTCATGGAGCCACTAGTAGAGAATAACACTTTGTTCTTCAAGGGCCCATTTGATTGAGGTCCGTGTGTAACGCTTAGAATTGAAGAACCGGTCTACCATAGAATGCCCTCTTTCCATTCTTTGGGCAGATATATTGTGCCAAGAGTTCTCAGAACAAAGAGGTCTTTGCTAACATTCGAAAGTGAGATACCTATTTCTGAGATGGTCTTTGCCAGGGACTTGGCATTTGTTAGAAAGCACATAATACTTATTGATATATTGCACTTTTTAAAGACGTAAGGTGACCCAAGAGGTCTTCCCCGAAGTCGACCAGTTTTCGGTCTTGACACAATACTCTGCACAAAAGTTGGTAGATATTCAGGTGTCGAATAGATCCTTCATCGATGATTTCAGTAACAGTGTCTCCTTGTGTTTCTACATCCCGATTCACGCGCATATTATTGACATAAAGACTTTAATGCTATCGAATCTGGTTTATCAGTTCCAAAAATATAGGTTCATGTCCAAAAATGTATCTTAGTACGACCCCCCTTCACCCAACAATGCATATTATTTTATTATTAAATCTTAAGAGTTGATTCAGCCCAGCAGCACACGGCCGCCCTCGTGGATCTGGTTTGCGTTCTGCCATTAAGTTTTATTTCTCGAAACCATGTTATTAATATGTTCTCCAAGAAAGGGGAGATGCATGAGATAGCATCCACAGTTCTTCGGCCATGCTTAAAAAGGAAAAAAAAGCAATAACCAATGCTCATAATAATTTGCCTTCATAAGAGTCGGAAATAGGTATGTGTAGGTGGATATTCTTCCCTGTGCGGAGCAGTTGAAATAGGAAAATGTTTAAAACTCTCTTTCCGTGGCCTTAAATGCGAAATCTTTGTAAAAATGGTAGATATGGCTAAAAAGTTGTAGCTGAGCACATTGGTTCTATTTTGCTTTACGGCTTGATGAAACCAATGGTGGCAACTGTAAATTGGGCGCTACTCTTCTTATTGAAGATTACTTGTCGTGATGGCTGTATACAATAAAGTTGAAAAACTTATTAACGTCTTCATACGGATCGCAAAAACGACATTCATTGCCAGATCTTAAACTAGTGGCAAAATTACATAGTAACGGCTGTCTTTTAAATGGCAAAGCTCTTACCTGTAGCATATCCACAAATAACAGTTACCTTACTTTGTAAAATGAGCAATGTCATTTTAGTTATTTGGTTTCGCGAAATAGTCTTGTTGAATATTATTCGGCACCAATTATTGTTGGCTAAATGTTCTTCTGGTTTAGTTCAAATTTAACGCTTTCTGACAACTTCACTCATGGCAATCATTTAACAAATGTCATTTGCCAAAGTTGCCAAGCAACACACTTATATGTCAGTTTTAACTTCAAAATTTTCTCTCTTGTAATTTAACATTCGACAAAACATTTTCCGAATTACATATCTGTAATTCCAAAAGAGTAATAAAAAGTGTAAGAACTATGAGCGTTTCAGCAACAGAAAATGGCCGTACCTTGCTTGAAAAGCTATGAACTGCGAACACCAATTTGGACGTGATATTTCACTTTTCGAATGTTTGTACATTTCTCTGAAAGATCGACGTTAGATCGATGTTAGTTGCATAGGAAATTTGTGAAACTACGTAGTCGTCTGGGCGTTACTAACGTATCAAACAAGATTTTTTTGTTAACTTCAAAATTTTAGTTTGACCTTTCAGAGCCACGTGGGGTATTTCTTACGCAGCTCTTGTAAGAAATTTAAAATAGTATATTAAGATACAAGTGTATAATCAAGTCTTTAAAGCACGCGCAACGAGTTTAAAGGCACGACGCAAAGCGGAGTGCCTTTAACGTTGCAAGTGCTTTAAAGACCAATTATACACGTGTATCTTATAGTATTTTTTATTATACCTGCAGTATAATTTAAAAATAGGAAATTCAATGAAATCATATTGACGTTATACTCGAATACATGTCTAATTAAGTGGGCTGGGTGTTCGTAATTTCACGATTGCCAGTGAAATGTCACTTGACGTTTGCTTATAAAAATCGTCGTCTTTGTGAATAAAACGATTTCCGTTGAAAAAGATAATACTCCGTCCATTACATCGCTTGTTGTAAAATCTAAACAAACGTTGGTAGGTGTAAAATCTCAATCCAGTAAAGCCTATTCTCAAGCATATGAAAAGTTATTTCCATGGATGAATAGGAAGTTACTTACGAATAAAGTCTTAAATGCATCGATAATGCTGGCATATATGAAGGAAATGTCAAAGGTATTTAAATCTTCTATCTTTTGGTGCATTCATTCAAAACTTCACTTATTGCTGGGACTAAAAAGTGGAACAGATTTGGAAGCATACCCTAAATTACGCGCGTTTGTAAAAGCTTCAACCAAAGGATAGGTACAAGCCAAAGAAATGTTCTGCATTTACAGAAAGCGACCTAAGAGGATTTTTTATTTCAGCCTCAGATGACAGTTTCAAAAGTCATACTTGAAGTATCGTTACTTAGCAACTTTAAAGCACGTGTGTTTTAAAGGCCTTTTTTCGCACGCATTTGAGTGTTTAAAACGGAGATTGTGATTCAGGTATAATAAAAAAGGATTTTTTGAAAAGCGGGAGTTTTTTCGTCTTTTACAGATTATATTTGTGCCCCTCTTTCTACATCTACGTTTGCATGCCATAATTTCGAAATAAAACTTGCGGAAAAGTCAAACTAAAATTTTGAAGTTAGCAAAACAATCTTGTTTGATACGTTACACCACGATACACTTACAACGGTATGCTCTTGCGCATCTAGCGTGACGTCACGTGCGAACAAAACCACAGAATATAGAGCAAAATTACGATGCTAGATCGACAAATCACAAGGTTAGTTGACAAATCATACTGATTTGTGTAGAGATCCTCGCGTAAGTTATTTCTGGGATTTCGTGATCGTGTGAAATAAACTCTAACCAAAATTGATCCTAAACATGAAATGCGGCTGTTTCAGTAAAAATTATATAATTAATGCGTTATCAAAAGATCTAATCTCTCCTCCGTGTCCCTTTTATTTTGATTTTCATTATTACGCGGTAGTTTTAAAGTAGGTAAAGCATCAGGTTTCAAACATCCGCTGTTTTTAAAAGTAGGTCTAATTAAGAAGTCGTTCCCTTAGCGGTGCTTCAAAACGGCTGGCTTCAAAATGTTCATAACAAATACAGGATATAGGATTAAACAGCAATGGAAAGACTTAAACACACCACTTAATAATAATGTAACACCATTTTTCAAGGTAATTTTGTCCTTACGACGACTTGCAACAATCCATTTTAGAGAAAAGTCTTCAATTTTCGGAAATCGAAAGTACCTATTTTATTTCCACACACAACCTGGCATTTTGGAATTTTCACTAATGATTACTTAGCTATCAACACATTAATGCTTAGCTATCAACAAATTAACGCTATAAAACTCGTAAATACAACTGAAAAGGTGCAAACTGTCACGCGTGACATCTGTACTGGATTTTTCCGTGCGTAAACACTTGAATTTTGGCGCCACACGTTCGCAGGTGACGTAATGCGCAGTAGAAAACGCGTTTGAGAAAAATAATGAGCATACCGTGTGTAAGTGTATCGTGATGGCATTCATTTTACAAATGTCATTTGCGAATTTGCCAAGCAACAGGCTTTCATGTCATTTTTGTCTTCAAAATTTTCTCTCTTGTAATATGTAATTATTAGTTTATTACTCAAGCCATTTATTGCTTGAGTACACCCTAGAACTGCGCTCCTTTTAAGTAATCAAAAGCACTAGTATTAAAAAAATGGGTGTTTTGAAACCCGAAAATGCCTATACCTTGCTTGGAAATCGTGAACCCCAAGTTGTCCATTTTATTTCAGATTTCGAATTCTTGCACATTTCTCTTCTTTCTGAAATATCGACGTGTAAATGTCTGTATTTCTCCGGACATGCTACGTATCCTTGGTAAATAAAGTGGTAACCATGGACAGACTTTGTAACTTGCATGGGAAATTTGTGAAACTACGTAATCGTCTGGGCGTTACTAACTTATGAAACAAAATTGTTTTGCTAACTTCAAAATTTTAGTTTGACTTTTCCGCGAGTTTTATTTCGAAATTATGGCATGCAAACGTAGATGTAGAAAGAGGGGCACAAATATAATCTGTAAAAGACGAAAAAACTCCCGCTTTTCAAAAAATCCTTTTTTAAATTTTTTAAAAGAGCTGCGTCAGAAATACCCTACGTGGCTATCTTGTAAGTTAACATTGGAGGGCGCTCGGAGATGGTGTAATATGAGTGCCTGTCAAAGAAGAAAGTACCAGTGCAGAGCTATACAAGCCGGAAGGGCTGCTAAACCTTTTCGAACTAGGTGCAAGACTGGCAGAAGAAAGCTCAGATGTAAGTTACAGAAGAGACGACGCAAATGCAAACGGAAAATAAAGAGGCGTACTTGCAAACGAAGAAAAAGAAGGATGCGCAGACGAAGTTGTTCAAGGAAGAGGAAGCGGGTGTGCAGAAGGAAAAGCAGTTGCCCTAATCAGTCTCAGACATCGGTCGTATCGCAAGAAGCTTCTGAAGCGAGTCTGTAACAATGCTGATTATACTTTTATAGATTTTTTATATTATACAAAACCTTTTTTATCTATGCTGTTTGATTCAAAAAGAAACTGTTGGGAATGTAATTTAGTGGCACAGATACATACATTTCTCTGAAAGCATAAAAGCAAATGCCCAAATACCTTTTTGAACTAAAATACAGAACGATAGTAGAAACATCCGGCAACGCACGAGGTTCTTAGATTTCAACAAACAGTATTCCACAGTGAAGGTCAAGTGAAGCATCAATTCCTGTTTGTGTGTCCTTCCCGTTATTTTCATCGCTTCTCCAGAACACTCTAATACGTAAGCCCCGTTTTTGGGTGTCATTTTGTAACGGATGTTACAAATACCTCTTCTACTCCATCCTACCTCTGGCTAATCTTCGCATACCTTAATTAAATTACGGGTGGTTCTTGTTATGGAATTATGTATAATGTGCGCCCGATAGCTATCAGTTAGTAATTCTCTCCTGGCCTCTTAAGGAAAAAGGTAAAGGGATAAATAATAAGTCAATAATCTTTATTAAATTATGAAACGGTTCTTATTTTCTTTAAGGTATGTTCTTGCTGCAATAGAATAACATAATTAGTAAATGGGGTTTGAAGCGTAACAATCCTGTACAGCAAATAGTTAAGAAACATTGATTCGCAAAACATACTTCGCATCGATTGTTCCTAAATACCTTTATCGTTTGTGCACCACCAGTTCTAGACGAGTTCGGGTCACGGCTTTCACTCACAAGGAGAGTTATCTTGCATCCAGCTGTACTATGCACGGACCGACTATAGACTTCCCGCCGTTGTTAGGAACGCCAGGGAAGGACCCCACTACCAGCAAACGCCCCATTCGCCGCAACGCCGGACGCCTCGACGAATTGTTAATAAGCACCACCAAGGGCCAGCAAAAACCACTTGTGCCTGGGCAAGCCTACCTTCCCTACATAAGCAACTGAGGCTGGTCGCTTTGGCTCAAGACGTCGCCACCGCATGTCATCACGTCCCGGCTCTGACCTAACTCCGTTCGTCAGGATCGGCGCTATCCGCACCTACCTACGCCGCTTCTGGCATCCTGGTACGCCGTGGATATGTTCAAGCTTCTTGTTTTCTTTCTTCGAAATGCTGCGAAAACCTTCGTCCGCAGCATGACGGTGGCTCGATCGATATGATTTTCGCTATTGGATTAATTTCAGTCTTCGGGATCCATTCAGAGGACTGATTGACTTAAAATTGCACCTCGCGCTTTGCGACAACGCGGCGCAGGTTCGCCCCATGTAACGCCGCTTAAAGCCTCCTGTCTCATTATTTGTCATTTAACTTTGGGTTGCGATAGACGTATTTAACTCGGATCTCTTTGTTCTTACCTTATTACAATGATCTGATTCATTTATCTCACCCTAAATATGCACACATAGTGCAGTATTTATTTATTTACTCTATTTGCATCTGAAATAGAATTGTATTTCTAAACCGCGATTTTTACTTTATATTTCCAGTTACCTTTTAGCTTCCTTAGAGCTCTTTTACACGGTGGTACTGTATGCGAAATACTGTATCTTTGTCATCAGAATTCCAGCCTTACGCAGTGAGGTACTTCGATTTTCAGTGCAGTGGCGGGCGGGTTTCTGTAAAGTCACACCACACCTGATAAAATTGACGTTGCAGAAGCCATTTTACTATACAATACATCAAAGGTGCGCTCCATTTTATGACTATTTTGTTTCTTCGGGCGGAGGTGACGAACAGCACTGACCGGTTGCTAATGAAAAGGTATCCTCCTGTAAAGAGTTCCATATGAACCAATAGCCCATCAGTTCCCTAAAGTCGTAAAATCTCCGGGCGACTGGACCTAGCGGGAAACCGAAATTTAGTCGCCGGTACTGTATGCGAGAAGTATGCGTGTGTGAACGGCTCCATAAGACGCAATGTTACAGATGTATCCGAGATACCAGTCTGCGGGTGACTGTATCAACGTGTCTTACGGTTAAATAAAAAACCGGGTTATACATAAATGAAATAATTGATTTCCTTACAATGCATAAACAAAAATTCACACACACAAGATTATAATTCCGTATCTATATAATTTAGATTGTGCATTTTTTCTACCCTATAAAATTCTCTGTACGTACGGAGGCTCGTTAGAGCTTTATTGGTGAGCCTGCGTAAATCTGGGTGGGATTTGGAGGAATGCGACAGATAAGGAGTCCAACGACGAACAAATCTACCCACGTTTCATTTTGTTTTCTCCAAACAACAGTTCACGTTATAAGGCAAATAGTAACAACAAATTTATGCAGTAGGAGGGAACCCTTTGAACGAATATACGGTTTTTTCAGATACCAAAAGTTGTTGTTGGGACATTACCACAACGCATATACGTAAATGCTACGCTGAAAAAATCGGTATGTATTTCCAAAAGGAGTTGAGTATCTAGTGATGAAGGATTATACTATGGTAACGTCTACGAACGCTAAAATAAAAATATGAACAAAGTTGCTTTTATATAAGGATACACTCCTCTATCTTCCCAATGGAAATAAAGGATCACAATCTTCATAGTCCATTTCAAAATAATGGATGAAACTAGCCTCCCATTCCTTAGCTTTACTATGTAAATGGTTATGCATTTCGACTAAAAGCACTTCAGACACACCACAATTCTGTTGAAAGCGACTACCGATAATGAATAACGAAAGGTGAGAACTGCCAACAAAAAATTCGAACGTCAATGTCAAATATTAAACAAAAACCTTTGGCATCGTTGATCGCAGCATATCCAGTTCTACAAAAGTTTACCTACCACAAGTCCATAGATCAACTTGTTCTGGGCACAAGTCTCTAATATTTTTCTCATTAAATATACCAAAAATTGGTGTTCTATTCTGTCAGTGACGTGCAAAGGAGTATTGAACAAAATGTGGCAGTACCTACCTCTGTTTGGCGTTATCATGTAGCTTATCACTACACGAACTGGGCTAGATTCCAAATAGTCTCTACCGATCTTTACAAACTCATACACAGCACAGGGTGTATTGAGTCAGCTGTCCCAAAAAAAAGACTGGTAAAAGCAGAGCTTCAGAAACTCCGAGCTGAAACGCCTAGCTTGTACAATAAATACAAGACGCAGGAGCAATGTGGGAAGAGATTGAGGTGATGCTTTCTAAAGGATCACGTCACCTTGTTGAGCAGACTAAGGCATATAGGCCCTTCACCCTCGGCTCATTCTTATTCGAAGGGATTGAAAAGGTTTTGGACTAATTCTTCAAAAGCGCGCGCTTTTTTTTATAAGCCAAGGGTTGTGAGAGAGAGACAGGAGTCTGACCAAGTGTCACTTTCGAATGTTTTTATAATTAACTGCACTGCTGATCACCATCAAACCTATAGCAATTAACAAGATATCGTCTGAAATGAACAATTAGAAGTCGGCACTGGAAAAATTTTTTATTATGGCAATTGATTTTATTTGACCCACGGCTAGCCCAGTAATAAAAATGTTTTTAAATCCCACACCTTACGGAGGTTTGGTCTCTTATCTCGTCTTACAATCTGAAATCCAATTTAATTTGATTGAACTCTAATAAATACACATGTGATCGATCAAGTTCAATTTTTCTGGCCAAGTTATTGGACTTAGAACATCGGTGTGGTTCATTAAAATAAATACAAAATGCAAACGTGATCACGTGTATTGACATTGGCTAAATTTGATACTTATCTAAAATTTATCTTCACCACATAATAAATTAATGGTAAATTTTCCTGTTCAAAATATACACATACCGCTCAATGCTAAACAAACCTTTAACCCAACTAAAGGAATGGTTTCACTAAAATTAAATGCAATATTTTCCCCATCAATGAAGCAAAATAACCAAAATCCTTTGTTTGGATTTAATTGTTATCAATAAAAACAATACAAAATCTATTTCATGGAAGTGGTAATGATTAATCGATTCCTATAGGAATATTAAAATTACTTCAAACAAAATTAATATGCAAATTCCTAAAATTAATCGATTCTCTATCAAAAGCACATAATAAAATCGTTCCAGCTAAAGCTGTCGCGATTTTATCGCACTTTTGATCTCTAGTTTTTTCCGCTGCGACAAAACTTTCCTGTAAAAATAAAATTATGTATTCGATTAAAAATCAAGCTGTTGTGTATTTACCCCCGGTTGCTAACGTTGCTAACCATTAATGAGCTTCATTGCTACACCCGTAACTAAGGAGCACGCTAAGGAGTAATTCATGTTGTTATAAAGAGGTCGACGAAAAACACATTTATTTGATTGATTATCTTTTAAAAAAAGCATCAGCTTAAACGTAAATTCTTTACCTCACTATTTGCTCCCCATATGCGAAAATATTTATGTTTATTTTCAAATTTTTAAACAATGAGAAACTTGGGCAATACTGGAGCCTGTATTGGTGAACAAAGAAGTTTTACGATACAAATAGTAATGTTCTAATTTTACATCCCACGTGTAGGTACCTATCTATTTACCAGAGTCTTAATAAACAGTAAAGCAATGAAGGTTAATCTATTATGTCTGAAACTCCTTTAACGTAACCAAGGAGATGATAATCGTTCAAACTAAACTATTGACAGTTGTGAGCAGTATTGTAATAGTAAATTGCACCGGTAAATTTCGAAGTGAACATAAAACTAATTGAGTAGAACATGAAAGGTGTTAAATAGTATATTAAGACACAAGTGTATAATCAAGTTTTTAAAGCACGCGCAACGAGTTTAAGGGCACGACGCAAAGCGTAGTGCCTTTAACGTTGCAAGTACTTTAAAGACCAAGTATACACGTGTATCTTATAGTATTTTTTATTATACCTGCAGTATAATTTAAAAATAGGAAATACAATGAAATCATATTGACGTTATACTGGAATACATGTCTAATTAAGTGGGCTGGGTGTTCGTAATTTCACGATTGCCATGGAAATGTCACTTGACGTTTGCTTATAAAAATCATCGTCTTTGTGAATTACTGCGATTAAAAAGTGGAACAGATTTGGAAGCATACCCTAAATTACGCGCGTTTGTGAAAGCTTCAACCAAAGGATAGGTACAAAAGCCAAAGAAATGTTCTGCATTTACAGAAAGCGACCTAAGAGGATTTTTTATTTCATCCAGATGACAGTTTCAAAAGTCATACTTGAAGTATCGTTACTTAACAACTTTAAAGCACGTGTGTTTTAAAGGCCCTTTTTCGCACGCATTTGAGTGTTTAAAACGGAGATTTTGATTCAGGTATAATAAAAAGTGATTATCTATTGTTTTGTACCACAAATGAATTGGCACAGAAATTTGTTCTTCTTTCTTATACCTAGGGACACAATGTTCGACTCGTCCACTTCCTTCAAATACCATCCTGCAAAAACGTGCCATTTAAAACAAGTTAAAAAGTAATCGTACACGATTTACATAAAGCGCATTCCCACTTGCATTCGTTTCCCATTTGTAAGATGCAATTTCTGTTAAAATCGTAAAAATCCGCAACAAATATGAAAGATAGCGTTGCACATGTGCAATCCATTTTTGACGTACTAGGTACTTCAATTTCAGTTTAAATAAGAAGAATTTCATTTCAATGCTTTTCTAAATATGAAAGTTGGAACTGCGCATACGCAAACCTAAATTTTGAAATTAACGTTAGATTCTCCTTTATTCCAAGTCCCTATGTATCAAATTTCATTAAAATGCTTCCATAAATAAAAAAGTTGACACTGCGTATGCGCAAAACCAAATTCTGAAACTGACGTTAGATTTTCCTTTATTCCAAGTGCCTATGTATCAAATTTCATTTAAATACTTTTAATAAATAAAAAAGTTTGCAATTCGGTTTATAAATGGTTGAGATACGAAAAGGCCACTGGGAATTTTGAATCGATTCGCCTCAACTTTTGGCATTGCGTATTATATGGCTAAAGGTATGCCCATATTGAATTTGATGCAATTCAGTTCATAACCAACGGAGATGTCAAAGCGATCGGACATTTCTAAACAAAGTTATCATTCACACGGACAGATAGAGGGACAGACAGACAAAGGAACATGCGGACAGACCAACAGGCAGACGACAGACAGCAATGCAAAATTATAAACGATCTCTAGGATCGTTAATAAACGGCAAAAGTGTAAAATTATGGAACATGTAGAAAACGGTTTTTTGTTTTTTTTTACATTAACTTTTTTTGTAAGCGGTACAGAAAAAATTCCTTCCTTGGTACAAGACTCGACACCATAACGAACCAAATAGCGAAATAAGTAGAACAATAGCTCTCAAGATAAAAAACTAGTAGCGTCTAAAAACGAGCGGACGGGCGGACGGACGGACGGACTGACAAAGTGGCCACCATAGCGCGTTTTTTTTTATTTTTGTGGAAATGCGCTAGAAATGAATAAAGCGATTTTTATGTCACTTATTTGTAAAAATATCGACAAAACACAAGAAATAGGGGTTATTTATACCCATAATTTAGATGTTATTTTTAGCGCATTTCCACAAAAATAAAAAAATGCGCTATTGTGGCCTCTTTGTCCGTCCGTCCGTCCGTCCTCTCGTTTTGCGACGCTACTAGTTATTTATCTTAAGAGCTATTGTTCTACTTTTACGATAACTTTGTTTAGAAATGTCCGATCGCTTTTACATACATCCCAGTTAGTTATTAACTGAATTGCATTAAATTCAATATGGGCATAGCTTTAGCCATATAATACGCAATGTCCAAAGTTGAGTCGAATCGATTCAAAATTCACAGTGCTCTTTTCGCATCTCGACTAATTATAAACCGAATTGCAAACTTTTTTATTTATAAAAGTACCTACTAGCTGCCCGACCCGGCTTCGCACGGGTGTTTATAATTTTCGTATTCGTAGTTACATGTTGGGATGGATGTGTATGATGTTGGTTACAGAAAAAATAATACCTACCTTAAAATTTGGATTGAAACCCCTTTCCCGAATTATATTTGCACCAAAAAATGATGTCATTTGGAATACACATCACCTTATAACTGTTGAATATTCTGCAAGAAATGCTTCGATAGAGGGTTTTGCCCTGAAAGAAGTAATGAATTCAGTGATTCAGGTGGCGTTGTAATGTAACGGCCAGTTATATCTTTAGGCAGTATGGATTGTGTCGTGTATAGATTTGGCCACCGTGAGGTAATTTCTCTTTTTACCGCTTGGAGTCCCTATTCCGTTACCATGGGGTTTGTTTACGATTAAAAAGCCGGTGGTGGGACAAGGAAATGGCGATCTGAGTGCATTTTGTGTTAGCACGCCGAAAAGTAATGTTGCGCATTTAAAAGTTGGAATTAATTGTGTTCATTGAGGCATCCGTTTGGATATTGGAATTGGATATTTGGGGAGTTGTCTCGATGCCGTTTAGCGGGATTTAATTGATATCCACTTAATTGGTGCTTTGGGCTAGCACGCGGCTTGGCCGGGTTTTATGCAACAAGGCGTTTATCGGCATTTATTTTGATCATCCGCTTCAGGTCGAAGGTAAGAGTCATTCCTTACTCTTTTGTGGTCATTTCGTTATTTCATACGGGGTATATTTGCAGCGGATTTGGTGACGGATCTACATTACCACGTGAATCTAGTATTTGTTTTGTCACTTATCGGCGTGGGAACAGTCGTGGGTCTCGTGTAATCAGACTGGAGATTTGGTACTGGATGTGAGCTGCGAAGGATATGTAAAACTGTTCGAGTTCGAGTTCCGGGGAGACCTGTTTAACTGTGATTGTCTGTACCGCATGGAGGGTTATTTGTCGTAACGTCGGAGGAATTTTATGCATGGCTGTAATTGAGGGAAGCCGCTAACTGGGTGGAATTGTCGTGTACCAAGTTCGAGCGCGACACCTGTCCGAGAACTTGATCGTTCTGGTCGGAGACAGCTCCGAGACATCGTTGCCGATTTTGCTGTTCACCGTTACCGTCCCATTGCGATCCCTTCGAGTTTACCGATAGGCGAGGACCCGCACAGCTAAGTGGATTGTTGGTTGTTTCGTGTACATGCTGGTGACACCTCTGGAAAACGTTACTTTTGATGCGAGGTTTGGAATATCACGTAAATTATTACTAGCAGAGAATCTGATGGATTCTATTTAGCTGTTGGCTTAACCCGACTTGTTAGTAATTAGTTGAAGTCCTTCGTATCTCAAGTAAGAAACTGGGAGATTGTTGGTTGTGTAATTAATATTGGAACCTGGCATAGCCGGTTAAGCGTAACGATTTTGAGTTCACTTAATTAACATACCTATTGAATAGCGTCACTGGCATAATCAAGTACATTTATTTGTGTGTCAC